TTTAAATTGATGTTAGCATTTAAATTAATTCGCATTGCCATTCTATAATTTTTTTAAATAAAATAGTACAGAATATTGAGCAGCCATTAGATTCTTATTATTAAGATTAATTAGCTTTAGTATACCTTTAATAACAAAGATTTTTTGTCCGTCTAGTAAACCAGATGGTTCTTTAATACTACTGACCCTGCCATCTAATTCTTTAAATTCTTCTTTTAATTCTTCTTTCAAATTGGATTTCTCAGTTTTATCCATGTTCATTGATAATTCTTGACATTGATAATTCAAATCAATATCGCTTTTGATTTTATCTACGTTATCGCTTTGACATTGATCACAATTATGCAGAATAAATTTACAATTATTATCACTGTTAATCAGTTTAAAATTTTCATTTTCCACACCTTTTAACAAGTCACTTTCACCATTCTCTAAACTGTTGATAACTTGTTCTACCATTTCAATTAATTTATTAGGCTTCAAAAAAAGTAACAAAAAAATTATATATATAAAAAAATAAAGTTCTGTTGAGCCAAAACCTCCCGTTCTTCCTTTTTCAGATAACATGGATTGTATTTTAAATTGATTTTTTTTGTTTTTGTCTAAAGTCCATGACAGTCTTTCTGCAAAACAAACAGGTACAATAGTCATTTGTGCAATAGTTTGTCCTACGTTTACAGTAAAAGCTTTGATAGACGTAATTTTAAGTAAGACATGGATTTCATATCTATAATCATAATCAATAATTCCAAGTGAATTCAATACTATAATGCCGTGGTGTAAAGCTAAACCTGACTTTGAAGTAACGTAACCTTAAAGATTGCGATCCATTTGTGATATGAAAACACTAGTAGAAAATAATATTCGTTGAAACGGTAGTATTGTTTTTTTTTTTTTGTGCTACGAAAATCGAAAGCAGCACTTTCTTTGGTAGCATACAACAACCATCCTTTAGAATCTATTATTTTTACTGTTTTCATCTAAAAAAGTTATTAACCACCATATAATAATTTACATGTCGGACAAAAAAAATAAAAAAAATTGTTAGGGTAACAATGAGCATCAGATTTTTAATAATAAGTTTGACAATAATAACGATTTAAAAAATTATCAAAATTTTGCATCATCTTTCCATAATAAAATAATTTGTTTTGAAGCATAACGTTCATATTTTTACATAAAGTTAATTAATCACGAGCGTCTATTAATTCTTTTTAAATCATCTTTATCAACACTCGCGTCTCTGATTTTTTCAATAGCTCTTTCAATTTTAATACCATCTTGATCTATATTCTTTATGTTGCAAGAATCATTCATTTTGTAACTTTTTGTTCTTATTTTGTATAATGTCAAATTTGTTAAACTATCCAAAGCTTCTTGTAATTCGTCTTTTACTTTGTTCATTTTTTTTTTTTTTTACTATTCTAAAAAAGTTACACAAAAAAATTGAAAAAATTACAAAAATGGTTATCCATTTATTCTAGTTTCATAATTTTCTAAAATAGTTTTCCATTTATTTTGTTTTTTTTTTCAACTTTTTTGTTTACTTTGTCTATCCAACCTGAACGATTGCTTAATCTGATTATCCAAACTGAATACTTATTTTCATCTGGAAAAAAATTTTTCTTTTTTACTATCCTTTCAAAAATATCATTGAATAAACGAAAAACTTTCTTTTGTTTGAAAACCAAAAAATAAAATATTATTACTAACAATCAATTTTATTTTGTTGTTTATTAAGATATTTTAGATACATAAGTTTAAATAGGTGTCTTGACTTTTAGTAAATAATTAAAATAATCAGTTTCATAAATGGAGCTCTATAATAATCATTTGTAACGATAGACACCACGTGAAGGTAAGCCAGAGCCGCTTAATAAAATATTTTTCAAGTCATAACACTTGTGCAAAGGCTATCCCAAATCAAATACTTGTATTCTTATCAGAAAACATTTATGAAAAAAGTGAAATAAAAATATATAGTTTAGTACCTGGTATACCTGACTTGATATGACTATTTTTGCAAGTTTATGACTTGCGATACCATTATGCAAGTTTCATCACCTGCGGTATCTGCTTTGCAAGTTTCATTACTTGCGGTATCTGTTTTTCAAGTTTCATCACTTGCGATACCTTTTTGCAAGTTTCATGACTTGCAGCATCTGTTTTTCAAGTTTCATCACTTGTGGTATTTGTTTTAAAAGTTTCATTACGAGTAATATTATCTTAGTTTGTTACATACTACACTTCAAGAAAAGATCAACTCTCCTGCCACAACATCAGCAATAAACTGTAATTTTTTCATGTTGTAGTCAACAGCTTCAGTATCAGTATCATCTTTATTCCAGTAAGAAATCGAGTAAACATTGTTTTGCTTTGTTTTTTTAAGTTTTTCTACTCTACCATCATACATGACATACTTCAAGTACTCGTTATTGTACCATTTATGGCAGAGTTTTCGTCCTACAATTCTATCTGACATTGTCTGTCCTACAATTCTATCTGACATCGTCTAAGTCATCAAGTTGTTTGGTAGACAATGTATATAAATTCTTTAGTGAGTTCACGCAGCTGTCGCTCTAACTTTCTTTTGTCATTTTCATCCATTTTTTAGCGTTCTCATGCCTGTTTTTTTAAAATCTCTGCTCGTATGTCATTATGCTTCATCCGATTTATCAACCTTTCTTTATAGGCTGTGTGAATAGGCCACATAACTACATTTTCTCTAGATAATCGATCTAAACTATCTAGGTAGTTTAAAGTTTGATTCTTTTTTGATCTTAACTTGCATGAAATATAACAAATTGTTGCATTAGGTGATCTTTCTTTAGCTTTACTAAACATTTCCATTAACTCTTCACTATCTGTATTGAGAAGCCTTGCACTTGCTGTCTTCTTCTTGAGAGTCTGGGTAATAGAAAGTGAGAAATTTCTCTTATATTGACGACTTAAGACGTCTTCCACTGCAATAAGACAATTAGAAATCATCTTAATAAGCTGTTCATTAACCAAGGTCAATTTTTTTGTTTGATCTAAAATATATGTTTTAAGGTCATTTCCAAAAAAACCTGTTTGCTGCAAAAAAGTGCACCCGGGTTTGATTTAGAATCTGTAATTTTTTGCAAAATATTTTTTACTACCTGGATCCCACTAATATGATCAAAATGTGCCTCTTCAACAGACACATAAAACTTTGTTATCCAAGGCCCAGTAAGTAGTTTTCCAAATAACGCAAGGACACACATTTGCTTTAGAGCTGTTTTATTACATATATATAAATTTTTGTTATATATATATAAATATAGAGAGTTGGCTGAACAATGTAAAGAGTTAGTCGAATTTTTAAAAGATGAGCAGAAAAGAAAGTATTCAATTGAAGATATACAAAACTTAAAATCTACCGTTTATTATAATTTGATAAAGAACCAAGAAAATTATAAATACGGTAAAAGTATTGTTAATCAATATTTTAAATTGTGTTTGAATTTGATTA